GTCCCGGGGCTCCCACCATGGTAATGCTATGCTTTCTGTAAAGCCAAACCTTTCACTTGCTGAGTGCTGTGCCTCGTCCCTAAGGGATCTTTGCTTTTCACTTGTAACACCATGGTCTTCACCAGGGGCTGCAGGGGAATCTCTGCTCCAGTGCCTGGAGCACCTCCTCCCCCCTGCTTCTTCTTCACTGACCTTGATGTCTGCAGGGCTGCTTCACGTTTTCTCACTCCTCCAGCTGTTGTTGCACAGCAGTTTTTTCCCCTTAAATACATTATCACAGAGGCTCTACCACGGTAGCTGATGGGCTCAGCCTTGGCCAATGGCAGGTCCATCTTTGGAGCCGGTGGAACTGGCTCTGTCCGACATGGGGAAAGCGTATGGCATTTTCTCACAGAAGCCATCCCTGTAGCACACCTCCCGACTGCCAAAACCTTGCTATGTAAACCCAATACAATGGTGAAAGGAAGAAATTTTTTGTTGCTGCCTTTCCCATCCCTGCATGGAACTTGTAGGGTTGTGGTGTCCCTTTGGTAAACTTTTGAAGCGTTTTCTTAGATGGAGACATGCATGAATACAACTTCAAATGGTATGTTGGTTCCAGAGGAACACAAGGGATTCTTTTATGAATTAAGAAGGGCAGGAAATGAAGGGTTAAGACTTAATGGGCTCCTGTCACGAGGAGGAAGAATTTCAGTACTGGCAGTCCCTGAGTGATGTTATTCAGCAAGCTTAGCCGTGATTCAGGGGAGGGAATGAACAATGAAATCACCCAAGTTTGCAGATGATAACGAGCTTTCTCAAGTAGTCCAACATTGGTCCGGTGGCAAGGAGCTCAGTTTTGTGAGATCCTTCCATCGGCAAAAGGGGTAGATGAGCTCCAGTTTAGTTTTACGCACTTGTGGTGTAAACCATTCATCAAAATATACATGGTACTGAACTTCTAGTTCAGCAACTTGTAGTTAAAACTTGGGGCAGAGATCTTTGACAATTCTTCTAAAACCATCACCACAGTGTGGAGCTGCATCAAAATATTAGGTAGGCATCCTATGGAAGGGTATTGCGATCAAGACAGGTAGTGCTACTTTGGTCCTATGTATAACCAGTGGACCCACATTTTCAGTATTGGGCAGTTCCAGCTTCTACATCTGGAGGGAGTCCATAGTGGAGTTAAAAGAAGACCAACTAATGTGATCAATGGAATGGAGCAGCCGCTTTGTGAGGAGAAACTAAAAATGCTGGGACTCTTCATTCTGGAGAGGAGAAGACTGAGGGGAAGAAAGGTCAAGGTTTACAAAATCTTGAAAGTTGTGAGCCAAGTGGATGCAGAACTAGTATTCACCAAATTGTACAAATACTAGTTTAGGGGGCACTCCTCCTTCACTTAGAGCAGATTGACCAATTATATTAAGGTGATATTTCACATAGATGAAGGTGGTATTTCACACAGTAGATAGTGAGCTTCTGAGATATATTGCCATAGGAGGCAGACAGTACCAGCAGGTTCAAAAGGGATTGGGAAGATTCATTGACACCATGGCCATAAAAAGTAGTAAAAGCAGCAGGCAGGGCTATACCACGGATGGCCTGTAGAAACTGGCCAGGCTCACCTGTGGTGCCTAAATTGGGTGTCTTCTCGCCAGTTGCTACAGCAACTCACCTTAGTGGGAAAAGACAATAACCTCTTCTGACTCTCTTTGGGAGGTAAAGTATTTCAGGTGCCTTTATAAAAGCTTACAGAATTCCCCTGCAACGTTGGTATGTTGGTAGAATGCTTTTGCTTTGAAGGTGGTACAGCCCCTGACAGGAAAAATCTAGTTTGCCCCTGGCAGATGCCTTTTGACTGCCAGGGCTGTGCTAGCTGTAAAGTGGTCGGGGAGAGCTGCAGGACAGGAGCCTGCGGTTCTTTTTGTGAAGAAAGGATGCTTTTTTGGAAGCGCTGTCACATTCTGCTGGCTGCAATTTCAGGCTGTCGTAGCTGAAGGAATCCTTGCCAAGTGTCTTGCATATGTTTAGAAACACGGTGATGATAGAAGTGGTGTTGTTCTACAGAAGGCTAATGGATAATATATAAGAAGCACAGAAATGCAACTACAGGATTAGCTAGACGTCAAGAAGGTGATTTCTTAGTCTTCAAGATGTCAAAATAATGGAAAGAACATGACAATGTAGTAAGTAGTCATGAACACTGATGTAGCAGGAACAAACTTTTTACCTCACAGAGCTGTTGCTCCCTCTCTAACCTTCAAAGTTAAGTCTAAAAGCTGAATTTCTGTTTATGCTGTGTGTCATTGATTCAGATGTTGGTTTTGTCACATACACAGTGTTTCTTACTTTAGGAAACCACTTAACGTGCCCTTGGGAACAATGATTCTTTTGTCCATCCGACTGGGAATAATGACTGTGCTTTCTCTCTGGCACTGCCACCTAACACCTTTATAGTCATAGAATCATAGAATCATAGAATCATTAAGGTTGGAAGAGACCTCCAAGATCATCGAGTCCAACCATCAACCCAACAACACCATGCCCACTAAACCATGTCCCTAAGCGCCTCATCTACCCGTCTTTTAAATACTTCCAGGGATGGGGACTCAACCACTTCCCTGGGCAGCCTGTTCCAACAGAAGGCTAATGGATAATATATAAGAAGCACAGAAATGCAACTACAGGATTAGCTAGACGTCAAGAAGGTGATTTCTTAGTCTTCAAGATGTCAAAATAATGGAAAGAACATGACAATGTAGTAAGTAGTCATGAACGCTGATGTAGCAGGAACAAACTTTTTACCTCACAGAGCTGTTGCTCCCTCTCTAACCTTCAAAGTTAAGTCTAAAAGCTGAATTTCTGTTTATGCTGTGTGTCATTGATTCAGATGTTGGTTTTGTCACATACACAGTGTTTCTTACTTTAGGAAACCACTTAACGTGCCCTTGGGAACAATGATTCTTTTGTCCATCCGACTGGGAATAATGACTGTGCTTTCTCTCTGGCACTGCCACCGAACACCTTTATAGTCAAAACTGTCCAGTCAGTTAATGTGGTTGCAAGAGAGTAAAAGTAGCGTGAGAGCGAGGAAAACTGGAAAAAATTAAGAGTAAAACGAGAGTGTTTCTGTTAGGAGGCTGTTGCTCCTATTTCCACAGAGAGAAGGCTGGTGTGCCAAAAAACTTCTCTCTCCTGTTCTGCTGTTACGTTATGTGGTTTATTAAAAGACTACCACTTCCTGCACGTCTTTAGACAGAGGAGTGTTGTAGGACAGGGCTTTTCAGGTTCTCAGACCGAGAAGGGGATGGGCCCTTACAAAGGAGGCCCTCTGCTGAGAGCTGCCTCTTCTCAAAGCCGCTGGAAAGGAGCATGGTGGCTTGCCGCAGGACACACAGCGGCTGTCAGCACCCAGCCAAACAAGTTTTGTCAGGTGGAGGAAGATCTGCTCAATTGTCCTCAGGGTGACAGTGTGT